TATCAATTTCCCCATGGAAAAGAAAACCCAAAACAAACCAAAAAAGAGGCCAAATGCTTGCAAAAATGCAAACAGTGATGCTTCTCTGCTGAAAATTTTCCAACAAATTCCCTAATAGYCCTATTCTCTGGCTCAAGGCTCCTTTCTTGCTGGCAGCCCACCAGGTCCTAAGTCCAGCTGTGCAAGAAGCACCATATAAGATGCTTCTTAATTTGATAGGAGGTGAATGGTCCAGATTCATTGTCATGTTTGAATTTGTGGTGGTGCCAGCAAATGGTATTTGCAGTTTTTAGTTCTGTACTGTGTTAGAATGTGTGTTTTGAGGAGTTCTGTGAGTACTCCACTTTGGGGTTACAAAAGTCTGGTCAAACTGCTTCCAAAAATATCTTTCGGCCCTGATTTCAGACTTTTGCAATGGGATTATATGGAACAATGTATATAAACAAAGAACCATAAAAGTATTGCAAAACCTATTACACTGTGCAGGTGAGCAGTCATAGTGAAATAGAGTAATTTTGGGACTCTCTTAGAACTGTTTTTGCATGTTTTCACAAAAAAAATTATCAGAAATGTGAGCTGCAGAATCTGTGCAGTGACAATGCTGGGAATAAATCTCTTTTATTTATACACTTTGATTTGTAAACATGCCCAAATATTTAAAAATGAGTAGTGTTGAGGCTCCCGTGACAAGTAAGAATTGAGTATTCTTTTTACAGGCATCATTCAGAGTCTCAGCTCTCTGGTGGCATTGACCAGATACTTCCCAGCAGCCAGTAATGCCTGTCTTGTTTGTATATGCAGGTGACAGTTTGCATTTCATTTAATAACTTTCTCGTTCTTGTTTGATTCAAAAGAAAAGTGGGGAAAATAGAAGAAAAGCAGGCTTTCATCCAAAAAGGTGAAGAGTTGACAGCTTTGTGTGAGCCCAGTAAATATTAAATACTGAAAATAATTTTGAATCTTTTAAAGTTTACAAACATAAGTATGGGGGTTGGGGTTGGGGGGTGGGAGGAGGGTTGTTCAATCTGTGAGAAGTGACCTGAAGTCTAAAAACTTCTGGTGGACAAACAAAAAGTTTAAAACACTCTTCTGAAATGTGAACAGCTCAAGGTTTGTTGTCGTGGCCAGGAGTAGTTATCAGCAAAGCTGAGGCTTCYTTATCTCTCTGTTGCCTGTTCTTGACTCTTCCGAGGAGGCAGAAGACAGGGGCTGGATGGTCAAGGAGGATTGAGCAGTTGAACAGTTTGTGGAGGTGACTGTACACTTTTAGACGTACTTAGTTTATTTTGTGGCAAGCAGTTGCTTGCTTTGTGTGAAGCTGTTATTTTCTTTCATGTTTTTCTAAAATATTCAGACGGAGTCTTTCAAACATGTTGCTGTGCCCAGCACTTGGGGCCCACAAGTGGGTGTTCCTTAGATTAACTTCTGTATTTTTAAACATCTGTCTTCTAAATAAAAACCCAATGCTAGCACGTCAGTGTTAAAGGAAAATTCTGTTCTTTCAACAAAATACTGCTCAGTCACATATTTCTTGCAGTTTGTCCTTCCAGTCATCTTCTACTGTTGATATTGTTGCTTTGTACTCCTGGATCACTTGGAGAACTTGAGATAAGTGTATACAGCTTCCRTACTGCTTTGCAGCTCTGCACTAAGGACAGTGTGTCCGTTCATCCTTGTTCTTGTTGCTAAAAAGGACTGTGTGGTCAYCACAAATGAGCTGGAAAATATGCATTATTTCCCCTGGAGGAATGGGGGCTCACCCCATCATGCTTGTAGCTTAATTTCTCCAAGGCTTTGGTTCTTCTGGATGTAAAAYTCTTTTGAGGAGATGTTAATTTAGTTTGTGCTCATGGCTTAACCCTGCTTTATGCTCAGAAGGATGCTTGTTGTGTTATTGTTTTGGCACTRACTGTTTTATAAACACTGTAAATACTTTTAGTCTTGTTTTCTTGTTTTTCTTTGAGCCAAGATATATTCATGTGTGACTGGGGTTATTAAAATAATCATGTACTTCACACTGCACAGTGCATGAAACAGATTTTCTCAAAGAACTGCGGAGCAGCGCAGAGGTCGGCTGGTATCGCCGCGTGCATCAAAGCCAGAACAGCATGAAATTATCCAAATCCTCCCTACTTCATGTTACATGAGGCTTTTGACTCTGAAATCCCACTCGATGCCACTTTCATTCTTCTGATAACATAGATGTAGGGAAGTCAGAGCAGTTGTAATTAGATCCACGTTCCTGTGGATTGCCGGAGTCCCCCAAGGTCTGCGTTGCTGTAGGGATAAAGCCCAATTCCACTTCTCCATTCCACAATGTCTGCACAAGGCAGGTGCCTTCCCTTTCCTCAAGGCAGAGGGGCCAGAGAAATCCCAAACAGATACAGAAATTAGAGTCACATAAAAAATGAGGTGCAACTTATCCTCCTGTATCCCTCTTGAAATCCAGGTCTGAGTAACTCCCGTGTTGGATGTGCAGTGATTTGTGCTGCTCCACTGCCTGGTTGCAGGGTTATGAGTAGAGCAGCAGAATTCCTGGCTGTCCATGCTGGATTTGGTTCTGAGGCAGGCTTTAAAGGGAAGCTTTGAGACACAGAAAGAAATGCAAGTAGTAAAACACTACCTGTCAGAACCTCAAAGTTACAGTTCGGTTTTAAATTTTTAATTTATTTTAAAGATTAGACCAATGTAGGCAGTGAGCCCTTCAGAAAAGTCTTGCATTTATTCCACTTCCCATGAGCCAAACATCCCAGTGTCTCTTCATATGGCAGTCTGAGGGTACAATATTTGCATGCAGTGTATATATATATATTTGTGTATTTGCATACGGTATGTATTTGCAGGCACAATGTTTCTGTGAAATCTGTTACTAAAAGGTAATAAAGATTATTTGTGTGTRTCATTTAAGGGAGCTGATGGTGAAGAGACCCAGGTGCCACAGCCATTCTTAGAGCAGACAAATACATTTCAGCTTTTTCATGCAGCAGCGTGTCCTTGCTGCAGAGGTCATGAGYTGTTTTGCAAATATCTGCTCCTGGGATGTAAACTACAGTTCAATTAATGTGAAACAATTTGTTTGTCTGTACATAACTTTGAGAGCTCAGTTTAATTTAGTTTAATTACTCTTAGTTTTAGCGGGGGAGAAGGCAATCCTCTTCGTCTTGTAAAAAGAAAAATGATGATATTCATTAGTTTGCTACATCATTGTTGGATCTTTACTCATTCTTTACTCAGGCTGTCACCTAAATTAGGGGAAAATTGCCCAAGCAAAACCTAACTTTATTGTCATGAAGAAGTTTCAGGTAGGAGAAAGCACCTATTTCAGATATTTGCATGGAAAATTCAAGAACTAAGTATTGCATCTCTTGAGATACTTTTGGAGAAGTTGAGGCTTAYTAGCTGTGGGCTGTGAGCAGTGTTGATTCTTTAAACCTTCTGGTGGGTTACAACATASTTGTTCCTTAAGCATGAGTGCTGGTTAGAAAGCTTGAAGAGGCTGAGTTAGGGTTTGATTTTTGTCACTTAGATRTATTCTTTGTGCACCTGAACAGTTTAATGTTGCAGAAAGTAAACTGGTATGAAGAGTTTGGGATAAAAAATGGTTAATMCTTGTTTCTGTAGCTGTTTGTTCTTACCAATCAAGTTTAGAATTAGTTACAACTTTATGTTCAGATTGTTCTRCTTAAGTGATAACTACTTTAATGTAATAGTGGTGTATTTGAGTTGAAGTATTCTCTTTGGAGGCAGCCAAATAAATCATTTTTGGTAGGCAGGGAAACTTGGAGYAAGTTTTGGATGTTGCAGCTGCTTTACTCAATTGTGGTTCCCTATGGTTATAGCTTGCTGTGGTTAAAAATGTGCTGCTCGACTTGCTTTGCTTGGCTTTTTAGTAAAGGGCTTTTAACCAGTGTGTGCTGGCTGTAGTGGCAGCATGGGCCTTACTTGAAGGATTTTATTACTCCTATTATTATTACTATTACTATGCCAGTTACTTAAATTACTTGTTTTTACCCTTTTCCTCAGCTTGCTGCTGGCGTGGGTGAAACGGTCAGATTAGGAACTGGAAAATTGTTGGGTTATTTGCATTATTTAAAAAAAATCTTGAAGATTTTAAAAAAAGATCTTGAAAGATGCTTACTTGTTGACCCAAGTCACAGCAGCTTTCTGCTCCTGTCCTTGTGGCAGGAGGGACCCCATGAGCAGGGCTGGCTCTGCTTCCTGCTCTCTTCCCTTCCAGTTTTGGGTTTGCCCTTGCCAGCAAGCCATCCTGGTGAGTAAAAAAGGAATATATAAATATGGATTTTGGAAAAGTTGTGCTGGTTAGGTCAGTGGCTGGCCAGAAGATTGTAAGACTTAATAAATGCAGTGTGCTGTCACAGGCTCAGATAAGGAGAGGAAGAGCACAGGGCAGTCTCTCCCCAGGAGTGCTTTAAGGCTGGTCCTGTTGGCATTCTAGCCTTCTCTAAGGAAATACAGTGTGACWTATTTGTGTGGGTTAGGTTTTTATTTTAGTTTGCATTTTAAAATTTGTATCTTTGTTCAAGCAGTGCAGCACTCCTGCAGCAGGAAGGGCAGCTCAGCAGCTGCACAGGTTGGGCACAAAGCTTGGAAATCACATCACCAGCAGCACATCAGAGTCTGCAAAGTGGGAAGAGCTCTCAGATTCAYGAATTGGGATTTCCCATGAATGGCTCGGGTTTCTGACTTAGCTGGTTGTATAAACAGCAAAGAACTGTAAGTCTGGGCAGAAGTGGCAGCTTCAAGCAGTGAGGTTAATCATGGATAATCATGCAGGGAGATAGTATCTGCCCTCTCTTTGAAGATTTCTTGACATTTTATCTTTTTTTTTGGTAAGCGGTGAGCGGGTTGTTTGACACAAGTTACTGTTGTCAGCTTTTAGTGTGGTTGCATCAATCTGAAAATCTTTTCCATGTAACCAAACCACTTCTTTTTACGTGTTTATTCTCAGTCATACAGACAGAAATTGCTGTGTATCAAGGATGCTAGATATCTTCAGTGTTCTGTGGAACAGGTAACTGCTTGATCTGATCAACAAAACGTTTCAGTATCACAGTTATTTAAGGCTGAAAACCTGATMATTGTTCACTCAGACGTGTGTACAGATTGTAGCATCAGCATCAACTGAGTTATGATTTCTGTGTTGGGTGAAAAGTCCAGAGCTGTTGGRATGGGTCAGGGGCCTGTTTACAACCTGTTGCATACACTTTGTAATGATCTGTGGTAGTGAAATGAGGTACTTGGGTATATCTGGCTTCAGTAAGAACATCTTGRTACCTTTATACAGGAAATCAGTACCAAGAGAAGCTTAGAGATACTTGGATTTTCCCATGACAGGGAGTAGAAATTCTCTGGGTGTTCCATTGTCTGTATCATCTCTCAGTGCAGATGTTATGTGTGAGCAATTAATGTTTTATACTTTTTTTCCAACGCATCAAACCACTAAGTAGGTGCTTGAAATCTCTCTAGATGTTTATAGTAAAAGCTGGGTGCAGRTAAGGAGCTCTACAGCACAAACCCCTGGGGTTCTGTGTGCCAGCTGTAGAGCTGATGGTACTTGGGTGCAGCTTTCACTGACAATCTGTTGTTTTCTGATCTATGTACAAAATTTGAATAGTATTTATGAACAATTTAACAGCTCTGGACAAGTCTGAGCAACTGTTGCAATTAGTATTTGGTTTATTATGGACGACTAACGGCGTTGATTACCTGGTTTTGTTCCTCTCCCAAAAGCTGTGTGGACACGGGGAGCACAGATCTTTCTGGCATGTTGAAGGGATCAAATCAATCGTGAATAGTCAGAGTATTCAGAGTGTAAATTCTTTGTAATATGCCCGGGGGGAGAGGTTTTGAGTTGTCAAGAGAAGGCCTCAGAGTTCGGATGAGGAATGTAGGAGAGACAAAAATACCTATTCCTGCAGGATGTGTGCAGAGCAAGGACCAAGGGATTGGTTACACATGAAGCTCCTTCTGTGCAAGCCATAATTTGCAGTGTGAGCAGCCTTTGAAAGGCAGTTTGCTGTGGTTTGTGTCTGAGCACACTGGGGATGCAGACAATGGTGTGAGGACGGTGTGTCGGAGGCTGGCACTGCCCTTCCCAGTGCCACTGTCAATGCCCACTTGTCTCCTGTGCTTCTTCTGTGCTCCTGCCAGCCAGCTTTGGGACAAAGGCAGCTCAGTTACCTTCTCTTGTTCTTTGTTATTTGTGCAAGGTTTGCTGCTGCTGAACCAGAAGCTCGTTTGAGAAATTAAATTGAAAGATGTGATGAAGGCTGATGTTTATCAGGAAACTTTTTTTGTCACATTCTGTTCCTTTTCTTAAAGCGTAGCCACCATGCATGGCTGGCAGCTTCTTTTCATTATTGTCCCACCAGAACTGGCTGTGATTTCACAACATGGGTGAAGAAAGGGTGCATTATACTTCAGAACATTAGATGCTAAAACCTGATGAAACAGCAGTTCTGAGTATTTATTTAACATTTCTGTCTTGTTTGATTACAGCAGTAGTACTTCATATCAAATGAGGACATCCATTTGGTTCTTTAAGTGGAGTGTTCTTCCCTGGTTGCTAAAATAAATCTTCATACTGCTCTGAGTGTAGTTATTTTTACTGTGTAAAACTGACTATAGATCTCTCTTTTCATTGTCRTTATAGAAAACCTAGAATAAACTCTCAGTTGGTGGCACAACAAGTTGCCCAGCAATATGCAACCCCACCACCACCTAAGAAGGAGAAGAAGGAGAAGGTGGAAAAACAAGAGAAAGAAAAACCTGACAAAGAGAAGGAAATTAGTCCAAGTGTTACAAAGAAGAACACTAACAAGAAGACTAAGTAAGTTTGAAGGATGCAGTATTAAACGTGATGTGATTTCAGTAGCACTGTGCACTGGTTAATTGTGCAGTTAAACATCGTAATCTCCCTCTTCCCTCCAATTCTCACAGACCAAAGTCGGATATTGTGAAAGATCCTCCTAGTGAAGCAAACAGCATACAGTCTGGGAATACTACAACAAAGACCAGCGACTCAAATCACACTTCAAGGTAACTCTATGCTAAAGTTGAGCCTTTGGTATCTGAGAACCGTGTTAAAAAGCAAACACTTCTTTTTTTTGATCTATGAGCACTTAAACACTCTGCYAGTGAGGACGGATTTGGGCTTTGGAAATATTAATTCTCTTGTCTACTCCATTTCCATTTCTCTGCTAAAATAATTGTATTGTCAGTTGGGTAGTAATGCTTTTGGCTGTAAACACAGTTGGGGGAAAAACATTAACCAGCAATCGTATCAAATTCTTATCATGGCTCGATAGCAGTAACAAAGGTTACTTTTTTACTTCCTTATCCGTAATTCAGTCCCTGTAATTGTCAAGATAATTTTCCAAGTATACAGGAACTAAGTATACATGAACAGATTTGCTGGGATCTTGCTATCAACARAAAGCCTAAGTGGCTGGTTTGATATTTGTCTAAGTTTGAAATGAGCGTATGGAGAGAGGTTTATTCCTACTGTTCTTCCATTTCTTAAATCAAAAATTCAGCATTACAGAACAGTTGTTACATTATTGGACTTGAGAGCTACAAGAGGCAGAACTGAACTGGGTGCTTTGCCTGTGTGGGCTGTATAAGAATGGCATCTCTCTTTAAAATGTGCTGTAATAAKTGTTTTATTGAAATCACACAAACTGAGGCAGCATTAGCTGCAAACACTTGTAAAGCACATGGGAAACACGGTTGGCACTGCTGTTGGCATTCAAGTTGGCAAGGTGTGRCTGCAGAAAACTCTTGTCTTGGATTTTTTTAAAATAACAGCATGAAAATCTTTAATGAGAGGGAATATCTTTTGCASAGTAACCCACTGGAATGTAGTGAGGGCAGTGTGAAATTTGCTGTGCTGCAAGACTGAGCTGTTTGCAGGGGCTGCTGTTAACTCTTCCTCAGCCCCCAAAGACTGAAGTGTCCATTCCTGATTTGATTACAGAGAGGCAGCTTTATTGCAATGACTCTTTTCTTGTCCTCTTCTTCTGTAAATGGTACTTATTTTGAGACTTAGGCTGCAGGAGACTTGATGCACTTGACTAATGACATAATATTAAATTGAGAGATTACATCAAATAATTGTTTTTACTCGTTGAAGGAGTCACTCTGTCTACTGCAAAGCCTTTTAACCAGTGTTTTGTGGCAAGCTTTTGTCAGTCTTAATTAAGCCTTAATAGTATCAGGTCTAGCTGGGTATTTTTAAAGAGTACCTAATCTCCTTTGATTTTTAAACTGTCTTTTTAAGTGTTTTGTTTAGTGGAACTTTTCTGGCAATTCACTGTTTTCAGGAGTGCTGTCAAGAGTCTTTTTAAAAGAGCTGATTTTTACAGAATTRTAAGTTTTTTCATGCCCAGATTGCTTAACAGTTGTTTTGGGTTTTTTTGTAAATTGTCTTTGAGGGCTCTCTGGATTTTTAAGAAATCCTTTTTAAACTTCTTGGATACCATGCCTGTTTTTGACAAAATATCTTGGTTTATTCCATGCCTTCCTGTGTACTTTCAGATTGAATGTTTTGAAACACTTCACTCATTTGGCCATAAACCTTTCTCACTATAAACATGAAGCATCAGGGTATTTTAWTTTGCAAAATCGCATGAGTGGGCTAATCCCTTTCCCTTCTATAAGAAGCAAAACTTGTGAGCATGTGCTGAAGAGATTGGTGGTTTCCATCTGTGTTTAATCAGCTCTTTGTACAGGGGAAACCCTGAAAACCTCCCGGAGAAATGGTCAGAAGGCTCAGTTCTAAAACTGGCATTGTCACTGTTTGTGAGTGGGACTGTGGGGAAATCCTGCACCTCGCCCCTGCTTCCCACAGCCCTTCCATTTTACTTKATCATGGCATTTATAGATGCATTGGCAGTTCCAATTTTTCTTTCTCTTTTTTTTTTTAAAAAAACTAATTACTACTCTCAGAGCTGCCTTCTAACAAGCAGTAGCTGGAGTTTTCATCCAACCCTGCAGGAAGGTGGAGGCAGCAGGGTCTGTTCCGGTATCTGGGCCAGCATTTTGGCTGGTTCTGAGTACRAGAGGAAACAAATGACCGAGGCAAATTACAGGAAGAACTGGGTTTCCTAGAGGAACTCGGGGCTCRGGGAGGAAAATACGTCCTCGTGCTCCGCTTCCGGGAACGCCGTGCGGGGGCATCTGCCGAGACGGTGCCGGAGCGCCGGCGGAAACCCCAAAACCTGCTGAGCCAGCTGGCCTTTCTTGGAAGCCACAAACGAGGTGGCATCRTTTCATCTCGCCCGTGGTTACATGTGCAGCTCGGCAGCTCCTGGGAGTGTGTGTGAGTGGTGTGGGTCTGCCTGCCCCGGGAATCCAGAGCACGGCGCCAGGCTTGGACAGGCCAGCCCTGGAGCAAAGGAGCTGCTGTATTTACTCAGTGTTAGCCCAGTGCAGCAGCGTTTGGATTTTTGTTTTTGTCTTTTCTATCTATTAAAAACGCTTTTTCTGTAGTACTTGTTAAAAATTGCAACAGCCTCCTAGGTTAGATAAGAAAATACTATTTTTGGTGCAGCACCTTCATTTTTGGTGAGGGAATTTGCAGAAAGTTCTATTTTGGAAGGTGTACATCTGTCCTAAATGCAGTTTTCTGTTCTGTCTGGTTCTGGAACACCACTTGGGTAACTGCTACTTGAGGACTTTCTCCTTRTTAACTTACCACTGCAAGCTGTTGAGTATTCAAGGCAGATAGAAAATGAGCTTAATTCCCTCTTTTTCTGTTTTACTGTGCTAGCCTTGTGTGTGCTGCAAGTGAGGAGGAGAAAAGGCAGAGTGGTTTAAAAGCTGGAGCTTGATCCCAGAGTAAACTAACCTTCCCCCCATCCCTCTCAATAAGGCAGCTCTCAGCAAGCTACTTTTCACTGATGTATAAAGACTCTCCTTTTTAATTTCCCTATTGGGAATATTCCGCTGCTTAAGCCTGACCCTTAATTAGGAGCAAAAGCTGTAAATTACAGCAGTCGCTGCAGCTGACTTGGAATTTGCTGGTAGCTGGAGGAGTGTCCAAGGCTTGTTGAAGCAGAGCTTTGGACCAGCCCATGAAATGTGCTTGAATRTCAGCTTCCTAGAGCTTCGACCCTTATTAGCTACATTACTAATTGAATGATAGCACAGCATGCAAATTACCAAGATAATCCTGAGCAATAAATACCAGTGGGTTCTTTTCTGGTGGTTTGTGGGCTTTTTCCCCCCTTTTCTTTCTTCCTTAACGAAAAGCTCTGGCTGCAAAAAATACTGTTGTAAATAAAATCCAGAATGTACAACAGCCTCAATCCCAGAGGGAACATTTTGAGCTATTTTATCCATAGGCTGATTGGGCATCTGATTTGTATAAGCTCAAAGCAGCTGAAAGCAAAGCCAAGTTGTCCCRGTGCCTGTGTTGTTTGCAGCTGCAGAGTTCCAACGTGGGAATGAAAGAGCCGTGGCCGAATGCTTTCATGTGGTTTTGTATTGCAGAGTCACAGCCTTGTCTCATAACATCAGGGCACATGATGAGATGGTGAATTTAGATAAGAGAACTCTTTCATCTGCCCCTTGGGGAGGAGATCCTTCGCTCTGTCTGGCTCCTGTCCGYTTGGCTCTGCTGTGGTGTCCTCCTTTCTGGCAGGGCTGGATTAGGAAGAAGCTCTCCCTGTGCAGAGCTTTGTGAGACAGGTTGTTCTCTGGGGCTGAGCATGTTCTGCAGCCCTCACAGGCACAGGGAGCCTGGCTGGCACTGGGAGCACATCACATCTTCATCCTCTGCTCTGCAGCACTCACTGCCTGCCCGGGTTCTGCTCCCAACCTCTGCCATCTGCACAGGCGAGGGAGCACAAGTCGCACCGAGTTTGTTTTTCAAATGCTTTTCCTAATAAACTTTCCCTTTCTCATTTATTTTTATCCTTTTAATAAATGTCTTCTCATTCGTTTTAGACCCAGACTGAAAAATGTGGACAGAAGTACCGCACAGCAGCTGGCAGTCACAGTGGGAAATGTCACAGTAATTATCACAGACTTTAAAGAAAAGACTCGCTCTTCATCCACGTCGTCTTCTACAGTGACCTCCAGTGCAGGATCAGAACAACAGAATCAGAGCAGCTCGGGCTCTGAGAGCACAGACAAGGGCTCGTCCCGTTCCTCCACGCCCAAGGGGGACATGTCGGCAGTCAATGACGAATCTTTCTGAAAAATTGCACATGGAGTTGTGGAAACTATGAATCAGGGTATGAAATTCAAACACTCCACCTGCCCACGCTGTTCAAATCCTGGAGAGCCTCTTCTGTGCTTGAACACACTTTCTCGGACATCGACCTCTTACTGATGCAACCAGGATCATTTCTGCTTGCCGTGGGCATCTGGCCACCAAGGAATTTCTCACCCTAGCGATTACTCTTGACACTTTTATGTATTCCATTGTTTTATATGATTTTCCTAACAATCATTTATAATTGGATGTGCTCCTGAATCTACTTTTTTATAATATCTGCTGTGCACAATTTTCCATGAACATGACAACTTTTTGTTTTGGGGTAGGGAGCGGGCGGGGTGGGAAGGGGGCTTTATTTATTGCATTCACAAACTCCATCCTCTTTCAACATATCCTTTTTAAGTTCAGTTCTTCTTCCAGTTATACTGTGTACTATCAGTTTTGATATAAATTATATATAAATATATATATAAATAAATATATATAAAGGGTTATTTGAAACCAATACATGGAAACGCTGGTGCTTGAAACACTGTGAAGTGACAAAACAAAATAATTGAACAGTTCAAGATCTGGGACAGTCCCCTTCTGTGAAAGTGCTGAAACTGAAATGGAACTGGTCTTAGGTGAAAAGTGTTCCTGAAGGTTTGAACCTGGATGGGACCTGTTCTCTCTATTGTTCCTTCCCCGTTTCCTCCCTAAGCAATGGCTAAAGCGTACTGGACACGGTTTTGATTGTTACAGCTTGGGATCTGAGATGAGAGAGGATTGCTCCAGGTAGCTGGTGTTTGCCCTTGGGTCACTCTGGTTGGTGATGTGCAGGTCCATGCCCAGAATTCCCAACCAACCTGCTGGGGTTCCACCACAGCTCCATGTGTTTGGTAACATGAGCACGGCTGTGTCATGCACAGCCAGTCCCACACGTGTTGGTGGTGGTAATGAATTCCAGCAGCCTCAGTCCCTGAGGCAACAAGAACTGGAGTGGTTGCTGTGGGTTGAAGGCAGCAGGAAGCCTGGGAGCAATCCCGAGTTCAGGAACCGAGCTGGGGCTCGCTCCAGCCACGTGTGGGTCGGTGCTTGTCAGCCCTGTTCCATCTGTCCTGTCCATGCTGTTGGGGTGGCTCTTACCCTTGGAATCCATCTGTATCCCAAGAGTGGTTTCTGAACAGTCCAGTGATGGGCTTGTCAGCGTTTGGACACTTCCGAATCTCCTGCTGTGGGAGCAAAAGTAGGGAAAAGTTTTCATGCTGGCAAGTGAGTGACGTGTGCTCATGCTCGTGACCAGCATCTCCTTCATTCTTACTCTAAAGCTATCCAGACTATAATTTCTTTTCCTGGCTTGTTAGTGTTGCTTTACAGTTTACCTTCCATGCATTATCCTGCTAAAACACTGGGTTGAAGAGGTGAAACAAACTTTTTTTTTTTAAAAGCAAAACAAACCCCAAACCTCTTTGCCTTTTCATCTTTATTTAGTGRCCCCAGGGTGCTTTGCAGTAATTTCAGGCACAGAGGCTGTGGCTTCATCTGACATCAAATGCATAACTTTGGGCATGATGAAAGAGGGCCACATTTTGACAACTTTGTGCCTGYTTGTTATATTGTGAATTATTTGCTTGGCAAGAGAAAGTTCTCTTTGTGGAGGCAACTGATTTAAGATTTCTTTTAAAATCTGTGTGGTTTTGAGTAGCAGACATAGGTTCCTTTCACACTGGTGACT